GTCATGTCCAGGGTTATCCATCTCGGTGCCGCCCAGCTCAAGGTCCTCTGCTTCCAAAGGTGCTTCAGTAGCTGAGAGCTGCACCTTTGCCTGTGTCGTGTCTTCCCGCTGAGTAGGTTTTAACGCCTGCTTCAGTCGCTTAGAAAGCTGCCGGATTTCGTTCTGACCAGTCAAAAAGACAAGCATTCCACCGGCAGGTAGTTTGCGGTGTCCGCGCGAGACCTTGCGGAACGCATCTTCAACGTAGTCACGCTGGGTGCGGCGGGAGAAATGAACCGCCACAGGGTATTGGCGACCCTCGGCTTGAACCAAGGGGGGTGCACCATTGCGGAAAAGACTTGGGTTTTCAGTGAAATCCGAAATACGGAGAGTGGCTGACATGATGACGACCTTCAAAGGTTTGACAGACGGGTCCTCCTCGCTCAAAGACTTGCGCAGGCCCACAATACGGCTGACCATTCCAATCAGGATATCAGTGTTGACGCTGCGCTCGTGAGCCTCGTCAATAAGAATGATAGAGTATTTGCGAAGGGCAAAGTCATCTGCAATCTCTCGTAGAAGAATACCATCAGTCATGAACTTGATGGCTGTCTTCTTCGATGCCGTAGACTCGAATCGGATTTGATAAGAAACTTTCTCGCCATGTTGACCCAATTCCTGGGCAACGCGGTTCGCCATACTCACGGCTGCGACTCGGCGAGGCTGGGTGACACCAATTAGACCAGGATTAGGGCTGTCTGGGGAGCCGAAGCCGGATTCGAAGAGGAACTGGGGAAGCTGTGTGGTCTTTCCACTACCAGTAGCACCCCAAATGACGACAACCGAGTTGTTGTGAATTGCCTCCATGATTTTTTGTTCTTCGCCAACGACAGGGAGTCCTAGACGGGCAGTTTGGATTTCCTCCGTGCGGTTAACCGCGACACTGTATGCCTTGCGATTGGGATCGCCATGGGTTACCTGAAGCTCCCGAGGGAGAGGTTCTTCTTGGGTAGTATTGTGGGTTGCTGGCAACTTAGATGGGTCGAACACCTGCACTTCCTCGGTCACGGCTCCCTCGTTGGGTTTGAAGCCTGCGGCTTCGTTGATTTGTTGTACCGCCCAAGATTTGAAGGCTGACTGGCGAGTCTTGAGCGTTGGCTTATCCACCTCGTCATGATCTTCTTCGTCTTCTTCGTCTTCTTCGTCTTCTTCGTCTTCTTCGTCTTCTTCGTCTTCTTCGTCTTCTTCGTCTTCTTCGTCTTCTTCGTCTTCATCCTCATCCTCATCCTCAGAAATGCTCTCGGAGGACGAAGTATCTTCCTCTTCAGAACCCTCTTCAATACCACTTTCGGACTCCTCGTCCATATCGTCCTCATCTTCGTCCTCATCCTCCTCACCAGAATCAAAGCCCTCCCATGCGACCTCAGATTTTACTGGTGCAGGTGCGGGTTTCTTCTTCGGTGCGCGCTTCCGCTTCTTTAGAACAGGGAATCCATCAGCTCCTAGCTCTAATGGTCGTTTAAGTCCACTTCCAGCAGCCGCCTCTTCTCGTAATTTTTGTTCATTGGGATCTGTCGCGGGATCGGAAACTTTCAGGTGGATATCCGAATCGTCGGAGTTATATCCTGAGATATCTGCGGAAGCATTGTGTTTCGGCGGGGATACGGCTCGCGATTTAGATACGTCGTCATCCTGTCTCTTGCGCTTGTGGAGATCTTTGGAACTCTGTAAAGCCGAAGTGTCCACAGACGATTGGGCTAGTTTCTTCAACAATTCGATATTTTCTTCCTTCCTGAGTTTGTTTTCCTGCGGGGATGTTAGAGCCATATCTTTCTATTCTAGACCATCCACATACAATATATTTGTCCAAGCGCTTCTGCTTCTTTGAGGACATCTGCGGATGCTGCTCTTGTAGCTCTCCCTTCAGCTTCTGTCGCCGTGCCTCTTTCTCATCCTTCGAAACGGGCTGGAGCTGTGCGACATTGGTATCAGCCGACTCGCCGTCTGGGTTTTGCCGGTGCCTTTGTTTTCTAAGACGTGGTGTAAATTTAGGTGGCATCTTGGATTACTGCAGCCACTCCGGCTGAGAAAAAAAAAGTGAATTGACTGAGTATGCAAGCTCTGGGATCCAACGTATCTCTTCATCGAAAAAAAATTAGGGCGGTCGGATATTGCTGGTTTGGCCCGAGGCGGTGAAACTAGCCACCGCCTACGAGATACACCTAGTTAAGCCCCTCATTCTTTAGTTTCTCTTCAGTATTTCGATAAAGATAAATAATTCATATCACCATGGCTGGATCTTTTGATACAAGCTCTCTGCAGGATTCCCTCAACCTGCCATTTCCTGCTACCACTAAGCAGGTTGCAGGGTTAGTCAATGGTGTACAAACAGATGTGATGATAATGAGCTTTAGCGATAAAATCATGGTCACAATTTCACAAGCAGGACGACTAGCGCACTGGGTATGTCTTGACCTTGTTTTCAGAAAACATCGCTAATTGTATATAGTTGCATGTACCAATGGAGAATCAGAACCCAGGCACTGAGGGCATGCACACCCTCTCTGAGGGCGATGATGCTCTGTTGCCCCTTAAAGGTCTAACCACCACCACTTTACTAGGTGGCTATTCTCCTGGACAAGACACGACGGGCCAACTACTTGCTCGTCAGATTGCTACAGCTATTGCAATGAAAACACCTAGTGAAACGAGACTACTCCTCGTTGGCCTTGGACTTGGCAAATCAACTGCTGATAGAGATTCATTCTTCGCTATTGTTGACCTGGTTCTGCAATGTCTATGAACTGATCATAGATTGATCTCTGACTGAGAACAAGGCAGCCATCAGAACGAGGCATGCGCCAGACGTCGGGCTCGCTTCAGAAACAGCTCTAGGCCCTCATTTGTGATCTCCCCGTGAATTCGAATGCGCTCAACTTCAATGAATGCGCCGCACATCAACAAGTCCGCCAGGTCGACCTCGTTCATCTGGCCCCCAGCTGTCCAGTTCTTCCTCAATTCGACGATCAGCGTGCGGACGGCGAGGAATCCATCAGTTTTATGCCGAGTGATGAACTTCAGAAATTGGCGAGTGCGCTTCTCGGCTTTCTCGGGGTCGTTGTCACCAAGCGCGATTTTGATTGCTCGACACCGGACTGTCGACAGGTGTCGCAACACTGGGCAAGGTGGGTCAAGGTACGCGTATCTGGCGAAATCCATCAACACCAGAGTCCGATTGCTCAGCGCATTGATCCATGCGAACCACGCCTCTGACATCCAGTTGTACGATACAAATCGCATGCAAGTCGGAATCTTTGGGACCATTCCATCCTTCTTGAGAAAGACGGGCTCCTGACAGTCGTCGAAAGCGTACTTCCAAATCTTTGCGCGAATCTCCAGCGGCAGCCAGTTGAATGGGCACGGGCTTCGTCTGTCCACGGCCACCTCCGGGGGGAATATTCTCATGTCGGCGAGGAACCTTTTCTCGAATGATTCCCACTTTGCGCCAAACAGCAACCAGACCCTTCCCTTGAACTTATCATCGGCACGACGGGTGATGAAGAAAAGTGGTGTATCGGAACTAGTACTTTGTTAGATCAAATGGACTTGGTGGCATCGTGCCCATAGAATTGTATCGCTTACTATGCATACGGCATCCTCTTTGGTTTCGGGACTACCTCCACTTGGTCAGACTGATGCAGAACCGCCGAAGCCGCTAGACGTGGGGCTTTTGAAACCGGGGCCTTTGAAGCTCGAACCTTTGAAACTCGAAGCATTGAAATCGGGACCTTCGAAATCGGGACCTTCGAAAGTGGGGCCTCGAAAACTGGGGTCTCCGAAGTGGAGGCCTCCGAGGCCGTGACCTCTGAAGCTTGAACCTCTGAAGCCGGGACTTGCGAAGCCGGGGCCTCCAAAGCTGGGGTCTCCGAAACTGGGGTCTCCGAAGCTGGGGTCCCAGGAACCGGGTCCTCTGAAGCTTGAACCTTCGAAGCCGGGACCTCCAAAGCCGAGACCTCCAAAGGTGGGGGCTCTAAAGCTAGAGCCCCCGAAGTTGGGGCATCCGAAGATGTCGCTTTGTCAGAATCGCGCTTGGCCGAAATCCTTCCTCGGATGCGCTCACGCACGGCCGAAACCTTTCCTTGGATACGCTCACGGGTGCCCGAAGCACCCGCTTGGATGCGACGAACAGTTTTCTTCATTCTGTTCACTGAGTGGTGGCCATGCGTGATGAAGGAGTGAGATGTGACAAAGGAGTGAGATGGGATAAAGAAGCAAGATGAGATAAAGATTCGAGATGGGATGAAGAGTGAGATGGGATGAAGGAATGAGATGGGAGATGAAGGAGCGTGAGGGGAAGGATCCTGATGGGATGGTGTCGCCGGCGACTTAACGAGGCACACGCTCGGCGCTTCCCCCACTACTATCATCATATCTGCCTGCATCTTGTGACTTGGGTGCCTACAGACGCCATGACTGCTTTGATTTGGAGAACTCCTAGTGGTCAATTACCCGTACTACTTGTTCGGAGTTAGGTCTATTTTGGTATTATTCTGTGAATCTGAATCGCCCAAGGCTATCTATCAAGAGTGATCACCATGCACCGGTCTACAAACGTAGAAGATGATGGCATTTTGAATATTAAATTAGTTTTCTTCCTATGAAGTGATTGCAGGCTATGACTAGCAGAGATACATTTGATATTGCGGTATGGCCAGTCACGTGGTAGACATTGACAAACAGGGGTATGGAGACGACATCTGTAGTCCGACGTGAACAGATGAGTTTTGGGGCTGGCACAATCATATTCCCCTAGTCATCTAAACCTTCGCCTGCTGGTTTTTGATATTCCTTTTAGTGACAGTTCATACATTCTCCATCCTCACATTTGAAGGTCTTCTTAGATTTCATACTCCACACATCAAACTTTCTATTTTTATCTGCCGCCCGCATCATTTGAATCCTTTATCTTCATCTATTTCTTTTCAAAATCCTGCGTTTCGGTCTCTGTAAAGTTCTGCATAATGGAGCCACAGGTGGATCCTGAGTTAACCGCTGCCATCGAGGCCTCTCGCCAAGAAATGTATCACCAGCAGAACAGGCATCCCACATCTCAAGCGTCCCAGGATAATTTTGTGGATCTCACCAATGACTCAGGTGATGACTCGGACATTGAGGAGGTATTCCCCAAATCAAAGTCTGTCGTTAGTTCCGAGACCGAAGATGGCGACGAGCACGAGCAGCTGCAACGCGCCCTTGCTATGTCGATGGAGCAGGATGCACAGTCTCCCAAACATGCTACTGCCCCGCATGAGGTCTCTGCAGCGTCGACAGGTTCAATTTTGGGCATGAACCGAAAGCAGATGGAGGAGGAGCGTCTTGCACGTCTGGCCAAGCGCAAGGCCGACAAATCTGATACTACGTCTAAACGAAAGGCCGATGACACTTCGTCTAAGCGCAAGGCCGACGATACTTCGTCCACTCCACCGTCTCCAGTCAGCCGGAAGCTTCCTAGGACTGAGCCTTTGCCAGCCCGTCACTCTTTCGCTCTAGCCAACCCGTTTCAAGATGCTCCCCAAGCGAGCACGGCTCGAGTGAGGTCTCAAGTCTGTCGCCAGCTTGCATCAAATGCCCCGAATGTTGACATCCAACCGACCTCCCGCTCAGTGGCCCAATGGCCTCTTGGAGCTGTCAAAAAAACACATATCGCCGGCTTTCCTCGCAGTGGAAATGACATTACAATTGAAGAAGTCATCCAGCGAGGAGACTTGGAGTTGGGCGTATTTAGCTCATTTATGTGGGACGTGCCGTGGCTTTTTTCCAAGTTTAACAACTTAACCACACGAGTCATATTTGTCATGCAAGCAAATGACGAAGAAACGGTTAGCAACACAATATGATCTCGAATGACACGGACTAACCTGACTTCGCTTACAGCGAGAGCAATACCGCCAGGACCTTAGCCACATGCCCAATATTCGCCTCTGTTTCCCTCCAATGGAGCCACAGGTATTCTGTATGCATTCTAAACTGCTTTTGATGTTTCACCCTGGATATCTTCGCATCGCAGTCCCCTCCGCCAATCTCACTCCCACTGACTGGGGAGAGGATAGGCTGATGGAAAACGTATGTGGCTACATTCGCCTGATGTTCGTGAATTCTCTAACAGTGTGCAGACTGTGTTCCTTATTGATCTGCCTAAGCTCGAAGTTCCTGATGCCGGAAAGACCCCGTTTTACAAAGAACTAGTCTACTTCCTCCAGGCCGAGGAGCTCCACCGCAACATCATCAAGAGGCTAGATGAGTTTGACTTCAGCGAGACGAAGCGCTACGCCTTTGTTCATGCAGTGTATGTATTATCTCCCTGGGTGATTCCCCTGGCAAAAACCAGTAACCAGCTAAGAATATAAGTGGTGGAACAAGCACCGAAGACAACTGGAAACGTACTGGAGTTAGCGGCTTGGGTCGTGCTGTCAAAGCTCTCGGCTTAGAGACAAACGCGCCCATTAACGTTGACTATATCGTAAGTTTCTTACCTGCTATGCCTCCATATAGAATACTGGGTATACTAACAACATCCAGGCCTCATCGCTGGGAAATATCAACACTCCATTCCTGCGCTCCATCTACCTCGCTTGCAAAGGTATGTCACCATTTTGTAAAGCCCCGACGAACAAATCTAACTAATTGCAACCTACTAGGTGACAACGCTCTACTAGACTACGAGCTCCGAACCGCCGCAAACAAGAAAAAGGAACCCCGCACAGAAGTGGAAGCCATTAACCGAGAATGTCTCGATCACTTCCGTATCTACTTCCCATCAGACCAGACCGTTCGAAACGTGCACAGCAATCCCAAATACTCCATTGGCACGATATGCCTCAATCCTGTCTGGTGGTCGAGTGCCAATTTCCCGCGGGACAAGGTTCGAGACTGTGTGAGCGAGCGCGGAGTCTTGATGCATAACAAGGTGAGTACTTCCGCGGTGCCAGACTGGTATATCCATTTGTTACTAATACACAATCCTTCCGACAAATAGATTGCCTTCGTCCACCCTTCCACCCCGATCGATATGCCCGATAACAAGGAGTGCCGGGGGTGGGCTTATGTGGGGAGTGCGAATTTGTCAGAGAGTGCATGGTGCGTACATATCTATACTCCACTCGCTGTAATGGCAAAACTAACATGAACCAGGGGTCGTATCGTCAAGGATATCAAGACGAAACAGCTGAAGATAAGCTGTCGCAACTGGGAATGCGGTGTTATCGTGCCCATCATCAATGAGAAGAAGACCGAGGAGAAAGATAAGGGACCGGAAACGCATGGAACCGCCCCTTCGGCTTCTCTCCCAGTCGAGATCTTTACGGATACCGTTCCAGTTCCGATTAAAGTGCCCGCTGTTCCATTGTCCGAGCACAGGAAGCCTTTCATCTTTGGAGTTTGATTCAACCTGGGATCTTGAGATTGCCTTTATTCACTCTACATCTGAGTCAGATCGATGTCTACATCTGCAAGTCCAGTGAGAATCTGATTTCACTAATCTTGGCATGGGTATCTGGGATAGGAGTTCGGACCGGGTTACTTGGTTGGTTCAATGAAACGAATGAATGGCAAGGGAGTTCAAAGCTGTATGTATTATCTAGCCTTTATGCTGTGACATTTAACGAGAACAAATGAGAGAAACAGTGAATGCCCTAAAAAGCAATGTTGTATGATTCAATCTATGTAATATGTATGTTTCTAACCTAACCTGTTCCGATATATCTATTATCACGCTCTATGTAAATGCATGTTGACAAAAAGAAAAGAAAACAAAAGAACAATTACCAAACTTTTCAAGCCTAGTTCTCACTCTTCTTCCCCTTGAACAACCCCGTCACACGATCAATCATCAGTCCAGCAAAACCAAACAGCGAAGCAAGACCAAAGCTCCAGCCTTTCACACGAACGGTGTAGATAAAGAAATAAACCAAAGCCCAGTTAATAATAACATAAGCAAGGAAGATTCCAAAGCAGCGCCACTTATCCCCGATATGAACATTCAAGTTCGCCATATACTGCGCACCATCCTTGTAGGGACAGTACTGACAGTCGGCCGTGGCCTGGGGGTTAACCAGATACCCGACCTTGGCGAAAGAATCGACAAAGTCACCCGCATAAGCATCACAGGTTTGTCCAGGCGGGGGATTGAAATGGGTAGATTCCAGCGAGGCGCAGTCAATCTGGACACCGGGCAGAACGGCCGAGAGCACGCCGCGCAGCCACCAGGTGACCGGGTTGACGTAGTACATCCAGTATTTCCAGAAGACGGGGTAATCGGCATAGGGACGGACGATACCGTTGAAGAGGTTGACCATGGTGAAGAAGAAGGGGAGGGTGTTTGAGATGACGGTGAAGGAGGGCGCGAAGGCGCAGATCCACTGGCCCCAGGATGCCTGGAAGAGGAAGAAGAGCATGGTCATGAGGAAGACGTAGCCGGCGTTTGAGGAGTCGGTTGGGAATCCGACGGGGTAGTACCATAGCAGCCAGTAGATCAGGCCGGAGATGATGGCTGCGGGGATCTCGCAGACGATGTTTGCTGTGCAGAAGGCGACCCAGCCGTAGATGCGGGATGGGTATTCGCGTGCTTCCCAGAGGGCGCGGTTGATGTAGAATTTGGGGACGATGGAGTTGAGGACGATGGGCGGGATGAGGACGATTAGGAAGACGGAGAACATGCGGTCTTGCATTGAGGCTACGGTGTTGGAGAGCATGTAGAAGGTGAAGCCGTTGAAAATGCCGATGATGATCGAGACGAAGAGTTTGCCGTAGTAGTAGGAGGGGTCGCGCCAGTAGTTTACGAAGAGGCGTTTCGTGAGCTGGGTGGTTTGGGTCATTGTTGTGGCGGCGAATTCGTAATGGGCGGAGGCGGATTCCTCGATGGGGAGTTTGCTGCGCTCGGTGCGGATGTGCTCGATTTCGGCGAGCACTTCTTGGTTTTGCTCCGAGTTGCGCCATTCTTCGTTCCAGTCGACTAGTTTGCCGTTGCGGTGGGTTGCTTTGGCGGCGGTTTCTAGGATGAACTCGGCAACGTTCTTTGACGGTGGGCAGACGAAGCCGCGGTCGCCGAAGTACTTGATTATGGAGGAGCCGTCTTTGCCGACGGGACCGAAATAGAAGGTGTTGCCGCCGGGGTTGAGGGCGAGGATCATGTCGAATTGCTGGATGATCATGGAGGAGGGCTGGTGGATTGTGCAGACGATGGCCTGGCCGGCTTGACAAAGTTTCTTGAGGAAGCGGACGATGGAGAATGCGGCTTGACTGTCGAGACCGGAGGTGGGCTCGTCTAGGAACAGAAGCAGACTAGGCTTGGCTGCGAGCTCGACACCAATGGTCACGCGCTTCTTCTGCTCGACATTGAGACAACCGATAATGGCGTCCTGGATATCCTCGAGTTCGAGAAGCTCGATAATGCGGTCCACGTAGTCCATTTTCTCCTGGCGCGAGACATCGCGGGGCTGGCGGAGGATGGCTGAGAACTCAAAGGCTTCGCGGATGGTGGAAGTATTATCGTGTAGATCCATTTGCTCGCAGAAACCTGTGCCACGCTGGAAATCAGCACCGAGCTTGTGGCCATCGACGAGCATATCACCAGTCACGACACCCGTCTTCTGGCGCTGGGCCAAAGTATTGAGGAGAGTCGTCTTTCCAGCACCAGAGGCACCCATCAGGGCGATCATAATGCCGGGCTTGGCGTAACCGTTGACACCGTTCAGGAGCTTGCGTGTTCCGTTACCGTAGGGGACAGTGTATTCAACATTCTGCCAGGTGAAGCAGCGTTCACTTGAGGACAGGCGGTTGAAAGTGGCACCATCATCAGGAGAGGTCTGGCCACGGGCAAGAGCGGCGTTGTCTTTTGCGTTGACGACCTTCTCTTCATCGTTGACGGTGTTGGTCTGGGCAGTGACTTTCTTAGCGCGCTTGGACTTTTTGAAGACCAGAGCACCGCCTGCATCGCCACCAAACGAGAGAGTCTCGGCAGCGATCACAGTCACCAGGAGGTACAGTACGGTGAAGGCAATGACAACACCGAAGTTACGCCATAGATGGCTGCGTGTGAACTCAAAGTTGGCGGTCAAGTACTGAGCTCCGGTAACAGATGATTCACCCAATTCCGAACCCGTCAGAGCACAGCCCTGGTGGTTGGAATCCACCCCGGGACCCTGTGGGACAAGCTGGGACGGATTGCATTGCATGGTGCGATCGGAGAACTCGTTTGTCAAGACTGCCTCGTAACTGTACGCGATAGGGTTGACATAGAACAGCCATCCGAACCAGATCGAGTCCTTGATCAAAGTCTGCTTGGGAATGACATAACCGACGAAGATAATGAGCAGGTTCAGCGCAATACCACCGAAACGCACCGCGTCATCGATAGTCGGAGACAGCGCAGCGAACATGCGGTACATGGAAGTGATGCAAAAGGTATTCGTGTACACGAACAGGAAGTAGATGAAGAACTTGGAAGCCGAGACATCGAGACCAGTCATGAAATAGACGATAATCGTGAATGGGACGACCATAGAGAAGATAAAAGGGAAGTCGACAATGACACGGGCAATGGAGACAGCAGAGGGGCGGTAGAAAGCGTAATCCTTGTGCCGGGCGACGATGCCACGTCCAGTGACAGCAGGCATCAGCTCGGTCAGCTGCATCCAGCCAAGGAACAGAATCGAGAAGAACAGAGCACCGCTACGCGAGAAAGCGCCGCTGGTATCCAGGGACTCTCCGTAGAACAAGGACGAAACGATGAGGCCGTTAGAGACAACGATGAAGTACTTCGTGTATAGAGAAGTTTTGTCGCCCCAGAGCAGCCAGAACTGTCGCTGCACGCAGGCCGTGACCTGGCGCACGAACGAGACGGTGTATGGCGACTTCTTGGAGACAGACTTGGACTTAGACTGTGCGACCGTGGATTGAAAGCGGCGGGTGTCCTCCTGCCCGGTGTCTTGGAGACGTTTCTCGTACCCGGAGACATCCTCCAGGATACGGCTGTAGGTCTGGCTGTTCCTGAAGGTGTTCTCGAGTTCCTCGGCGGTCTTCGGGGTGGACGCTTCACGGCCAGGCTGGAACTCGCGGGCATTGGGATCGCAGAGCGAAGTAAGGAAGTCGGCTGTAGTCCATTGCGCGGGGCAGTGGAAGCCCAGGTCGACAAAGTATTGACGTGCTTCATTGGCTGGCCCTTGGTAGAGCATGCGGCCCTCGTCAATGACCAGCACCTTGTCCATGAGCTCGTAAATGCCCTCTCCGGCTTGGTATAGCGTGACGAAGGTAGTCCGCTTGCTGACATCGGTCATGATGCGCAGGGACTTGGCGTAGTCCAGTGCGGTGCTGGCATCCAGACCGCGAGTCGAGTTATCCCAGCAGACCACTGATGACTTGGTGGCTAGGGTCTCTGCGATACTCACACGCTTGCGCTCACCTCCAGAGACACCGCGTACATACTCGTTTCCAACAAGGGTATTCCTAGTGTGAGTGATACCGAACATCTTCAGCAGGGCATCGATGATAATGGGAATGCTTTCCCGGTCCTGCTTGCGGGTTTTGTTGATAAGGGAGAACTTGAGAGTTTGCCAGACAGTGAGCGAGGGGAAGTGCTGGTCGTCTTCCGGGTTATAGTTGACTTCTCCACGGAAGTGCTTGTGCTGATCCTCAGACGAGATACCACCATAACTGACCTCGCCATGGACACCAGCAAAAGCACCACGGTCGTTCGCAATCGCCTTGAGGAAGGTAGTGCAACCAGCACCGGGACGGCCCAGCACCAGCATCATCTCACCCTCGCGCACAGTACCGCTGAAATCATGGATTAGATCGCGAACAGGAGGGTGCTTGCCGAACCGCAGCTGCGGCACGAACTTGCAGACGAGATTGTACAAATCTGGGCCGAAGGTGCCAATTACAGCCTGGGGGAGAGTGCGCACGAAGGATGCGCCAGTCTCCACGCCTTGCACGGTAAGGTTCTTGAAGACGACGCCAACCTTCTTGGCGGGTTCGCCGGCGGTCGTGCGGCGCTCCAGATGACCGCCAATCAGGAAGTCACTCAGGTTGAAGCCGCCGTCAGCCTCGTCCTCGGTCTCCTCTTCGTCCTTGCCCTTTTCTTCGTCGAGGCGGCTGGTCTGCGACTTTGGGTGGCGAATGCTCCTGGTGACAGAGCGGGTGCGGTTCAGGCTGAGACGGGTGAGTTCGCGGCGCATCTCTTCCATGTCCTCCATGGCACCGCTGCGGGAGACGGCATTCCCGGCATTCTGCTCTCCCCAGCCGCCATCTTCGTCACTTATTGACGAGCTGAATGTTGAGCTGTCGGTTAAAGTTGAATCGATAGGAGCTTCGGTGTGAAGTTGTTCCGTGGGTTGTGAGTTTGAATCATGGTGATAGGTCTCACCAGTTGAGCTGGATTGTTGTCTGGAGGGCTGAGTATAGGCTTGGGAATCCGAGGCGCCATACGACTGTTCAGAATGGCCCTCCATGTCGGGAACTGGGTGGCTTCTACTCTCCGGCAACATTCAATGACAAATGTATTATGCTATAGCCAGGCTAATTAAGGACAGGATATGCACAGAACCAAGGGGGAAGTAAACGTAAAGTAAAAGGGGCAGAGTTGGAAGGGAAATATTCAGAAGAGCAAAGAAGACTGCACACCGTTTATATAAATGTCATAACCCTAGGGCATTTGTCAGTCAGGAATACGAATCATTCCAGGACCCTTGGAATAACTCAAAACTCAGGTCGAATCATAAGCCAGACAATGAGTCCTGACTGAAGAGCTATAGTGGGCTATAGTGGAGTGGTGGAGTGTACATGACTCAAGTTGACTAAAGTTGACGGTAAAGAATTTTATTTCAAGCTCTCCCGGAGATAAGCCTTAGCTCCGTATTTAGCCGATCCGGGCTGGTGATTGGCTGTTTCCGGCTGCTCATGGACGTTCATTGGCTGTTCGACGTGTCATTGGGCGGAATATCCATTCCTATCAGTCTAGGCTTATCACGTGGAGCCGGCTTTTATATTCCGTTTCGTCTCTTTCGGTTTCTTATACACCGTTATAGGAGAATGGATTAGCAATCGTGCTTACGAATCTTTTTCGTAGGGATAATCCGTGTAAACTCCGTGTAAGCCCATGTAAGAACCCCCGTATATATAACAAAGAATTGAATATCAAACCGGGCTGTATATTGCCGATGTACTTCGGCGACTTTCCAAGATTTCATTGACCCACTCGGCTGAAAGTATATTCCGACTAATCTGACTTCATGTCTGATCTAAATAATATCGTCTTGGCTTTTACATTGTTAAGAGTTCCATCGGGTTCTTTTTAATATATATCCTTGGTAGCATCTTACACAATGGCCTTTTTTAAGAAAAAAACCCTAAATCCCAACCTTCACACTTAACTTGCATCCAGGGGTCCCCGATAAGCTATTCACAACCATGCACCTCCACGTTGCTATGATTGCTATATCACATGTAGACATGCAGGCTACACCTACTTTTGGGCATCCATGTTCTTTATATCGCACTCCACAGAAACCTGTAGAAATGCACGTGCATGGTACTACTACGCGCAATGGCCACTAGAAGATACGGTCTGGCTCGAGCAAAAGTCCAACATTGGAATACTATACAATAACTTCTAACCCCTATTTATTTTGATCGCTACTTACGCTTAGCAGCAGCTTGAGCGATCCGCTTCTGGATCTCTTCCTTTGAGAGGATCTTCACGGCGTTGTTGGAGAAGACATAGCTGAGTCCAGACCAAAGAGTGGTGCCGGCAACAAGGTACCTAAAATTGGTTAGCAAAAAGAAACAATTGAAAACAAACCGCCAGCAAGAAACCATGCAAAACAAGAAAAAAAAAAAAACATACAACAGTGAGGATTCGCTGGTGGTCACCCACCCAACTACTAACTCACCGGCGTGTGGCTTAAGTACGGCTGAGCGGACGGGAAGCCCTGTTTTCCACACCCTATGGTCGTATGTACCAGAAACAGCCTCGATGTGTCTTAGGATGGACCATCGAAGACTGCTCCCATACACAAAAAGACAAAAAAGACAAAACAAGGGTATAAAAGAAAATATCAAACTTACTGGAATCCAGTCATAGCCTCGCTCAAATGCCACGCACTCACAAACGCCTCGGGGACCACAGGCAGCGCAATCGCACTACCCACCAACACCAGCTGTAGGGCAGTATTGATCTTCGAAATCTCAGTGGGCTTGACTTCCGCCGAGGGAAGTGAGAAATCCCAGTACCGGGCCATGGTCTTGGGCTCAGGCAGCGAAATCCAACGGTAGTAGATAGCCGAAATAGCCAGGCCCAGATCGCGACCGAGGATGATCACAGCGAGCCAGACTGTTCAATGCGTCAATCCATGTCCACGTCCATGTCCGGATACCAAAGATCAACACGAGTGACTTACTAGGAAGAGAGCCATTCACGGCCAGACACGCGACACCAATGGTCATCAGCAGCTTATCGGCCATGGGATCAATGATCGTTCCAACCACAGTTTGGAGGTTATACCGCCGGGCGATGTACCCATCGACGAGATCGGTGATGCCCGCGTAAGCGAACAGGGATAACGCTGCTGTGTGGTAGTTGTGGACTAGGAGATACCCGACCACGGGGGCGGCGAGCAGCCGGGAGAATGTGAGAATGTTGGGCACAGTGTAGATATTCTCGTGGGAGGTTGGCAGGGGAATCCGTGATAGAATAGGTTTTTTCTTGGATTCCTCGGGTCTAAGCTAGGTTAGTCACTGGTTCGAATGGCTTATGTCGATTTGTATATTGAATACATGGTTTGGAGTAGACCTACTGTTCAGGAGTTTTGGCTGATTTTGACCCGGACCATCTTTGCTGGGTGAAGAATGATGGTGGAATCAGGGTTGTCTGAAGACAACGAGGTTTCAATCTGATGAATAATTAGAATAACATAAATGAAGAAGTCACATACGACCATACCTAGGTGATCGGTTCAATGTTGACTGGACTGATGTAGATATACATCGGAATCCATCTCTCCGAAGAGATTCAGTTTTGAACACATTTGACTGGACAAAAAGACGTGCATTTTTGGACAGCACTTGGGATCCCTGCCGGCTCGCCCGAAGGGACAACTGGGCTGCGTATGAGCCAATCATGGTGACACCAATATAAAGGTGATAGCGGCAGGCGTTGTTAGAAAACAAAAGTTGACAGCGACACGATAATCACAAGCTTTCAACTAGCAATTTCAGCTGTGCATACCCGGTCGTGTTCAGGCTATGCAATGGTGATTCGGTGCAAGTGATAGAAAGCTGTCGCGTTGCACAGTTGCTGGTAAAGTTGCAAATTTAACCCCACACCAAATTAAACAAACTATCAAGCTGATAGCGCAAGGAATGCAAATAAACAGACACAATGCTATATAGTACAAACACAATCTAGGGATTGTTAGCTGGATGTGTCGGAATTCGGGGCAACCTGGCTGAGCGGGACATACATATAACAGAACTCCAAATGCAGATCAGTTCTACCAGTAAATCAACGAGCTAGAACCAAAAGCTCTAGATCACGGTCGCCTGATGTTAGATGAACATTGGAGATTGCACCTCGGCGATGAGTTTCTGGCCGGATAAATGGTTTCTCCGCCCGTCTCTATATCGCAACTTATCCTTCCTGTAGGCGTACTTTTCCTCATTCATCTATAGAAAGAAATATGACAATGCATTTGGCTGTTAAATCATATCCTAAACTGATAGTATCATCTATTGGTTCCCGATGCCAGGAGCCGCGTCAGGGGATCATGATCAAGCCTCTGCTCACCTGATATCTGTACCTGTGACCTAGAACCCCAGGTGATGAAAGACACGATTGAACAAAATGACGACTTATGTCTAAGCAGTCACTTAAAGAATATATATGTTAATCTCCCACGCAGACGAAGTCAAATTACCCGCATCTACGTCTAGAAGAAGCCTTGGAGCCAGATGGACAAGCAAGCCTGCCAGAACAAAGCTGCGGTCTTATCTTTGCGTCGCCACGATGTCACTTACTTCTGTCCAAACTGGGTGTGTCTCGGACTCACGCTCGTTAACTCCAATCTGCAGTGTACCGTCAGCCAAAGAAAAGGAACAATTAGATCCGAACATGGCGAATCCACGTCTTCTTATCAACCGTGCTCTCATCTACGAGCGCCGACTACCTGGTGATGCTTATATCACCGCGAATGTCCAGCGCCTCCAGCATGGATATTACTCCAGTGATGCCGTATCAGACGGGGACGCTGAACACGTAGATTTTCTCGCTATTGCATTCACCTTCCATTCGCCCCACACTATCGCGCATCGCATCAAGTCCGCCACTATCAGTGTTTCAGTTCGTGGAAGCCGTGATCTTTCAAGTTCAAAGTTGTACCCTTTTGGATATCCACCCGGTAACCCACGCTTCCTTATGCATGCGCCGCATCTGCTCTACGGCAGTGTTTCTCCAGAGACCATGGAGTGGACATTCAGTCTGGCTGGGTCCCTCGGAATTTCAGAACTTCCCGTCAGCGCAAGCGTCATTCCCTCGGGGAGCTTCAATGGTCGGTACAAGCGGTACGAGATGATGCGCATCCAAGGCTCCGCACGTACGTTAAAAAGCCCATCTGGCAGCGATTTCGACGTCGAAGCTGGCAGAATCGTTTGGTCCATGGAAGAGAACAATGTCCAGCGATCCGGTCTGCCGCGCGAGTTCACCTTTGTCATGTTGATCCAGAAACCCACAGCAAAAAGCAAGATTTCCCTGTCGATTGACGTCGACCCCGTCATCGACGCGATGATTGGCAGTTACCCATCATTGCTGCTGAAACTGCCCGAGTACCAACCGGTGCCGCGACGGGGCGTCAATTTCCAACAAGAAATTGGACAGCGGTTTGAGCCCGTGGACCCGGTGCGCGGGTTCAACTTTGCAGAGCTCGGGAGCATGTTTGATGAGTATATCGCCATGCCAGGAAGGAAGTTCAGCCGTCAGGTATGCTCAGCAAACAAAAGACAATGAAACCCTCAATGCATATGAAGTGAGCCGAAACTAATAGATACTTCTCTCAGATCCAAATCCCATCTGAGACCAGCATCTCTGAGAATCACCAGGGCACCTACCCAGGCCAGCAAGGGTCTCTAAACCTAATCCCGTACCAACAACAACTGCAGAACCACAACCTGGCCCTGAAGAGCAATAACCTCTCTTTGCAGAACCACCTCTTACGGACAACCCTTAGAACCCTCTGGACTACCCAGCCGAGGGAAGAAACCCAATTCTTCTCACCCACTTCCCATCCCCACCCAACACCAACAACATCCACCATCCCCCAAGCAGCCGCCATCACAATACCTCTCAACCTGCATCTCCACATCGACCCCGCCACCACACACCTCACCAACCTGCCACGGACAAGCCCAGGCCCCTCCCCCCTAGGCCCGCGCCGCACACCAAGCCTACGGCGCACGCAAGCGCGGGAATTCCCAAAGGCTCCTCTCCACGCCTAACAAAGTCGATGATCCCACACAGGTGCAGCGACGGGGCCGCACTCTTTCGTCTTGCCTCAAGGAACATAGGCCGTGTGCCGAATGGGTATATTTATATATAACTAAGCACGTGAGCTCCTTCCGTGACCAAGAGGCAAGGAAGTCACGGTTTACTTATATATGGATGAGATCACACTGGAATATGGGGGTCGCCTAAACCTATCGACGCTACGATCTATAACCAGGAAGACTTTCGCCTCAGAGAAAGAGAGATCCGGAAGAAACGCATGGAAACAAAAACAAATGACTACGCCATACCTCTCTTAGGGAGTTGATTTCAGCGGGTGGTCGGATATTAAAGAAAGTCGACAATGGATTGTCCAACAACCAATCAGCGCTATGAATTGTCTGCAGTATCTTCCGTTTCGGCAATATCGGCAATACGATGTCATATAATCGAGCAGACTGCAGACGAAAACTCACTACAAGAGCTCTTCTGGAAATTCTTGTTCTATGTGGATGTCCTATGCACGGTACATGGGATTCCACCCTAGGAGCGGGGATAAATCCAGACAAATCATGGACTGGCCCGACGATATCACGGAGGAAGCCTGGGAGGCCAAAAAAAGCAACACCGTATACAAGGACGGCCGCGACCGGCCTTGTAAACACGGCCGACGCCTCACATGCACCCCTTGACCCAACGCACGATGGAGTGCCCTCTGGGACAGACCAAACGGACAACCGATAGGATAGATATACGGGCACCTAAGCGTAGGGCCCGGACTACCGTTCCAGCTGCAGGATGCCCAGCGCAGACCCCGAACGCGAGCATACGCGACCTGTTCACTGGCTACGAGCCTCACATCGCTGCAGACTGCGATGATATTGACACGCTAGTCGCAAAAGCGGATCGCATTGCCGAGCTGAGCTCAGGGCGCAACTGGGCACAGACACGGCGCGTATGGTCCTACGCATGCATGCCGAAGCCAAAACCGCCGAGCAAGAGTACGATACCATGTACAAGGAGGTTGAACAGAGGATTGATGGCAGACAGGATATGGCAGCTAGGCACGTTCTGAAGAACGTTCAAGCGAAGGGGCGAGAGCGGTTTAATTTCTTTTAACTAGTATTTTTTTCTTCTTCATTAGCATTGATCAAGATACCCATTTCTGTGATATGTTACTATTCTAGTTGCTGATTGATAGCGTACCAATAGTGCTTATTTAATATTGGATTTTATACTTCTAGAAATAGTATGAAACTGTAATTATAGTAATCGATAGTATATATTCTTATTTATTCCAAGCACCACGCTATCCAAATAGACCATGGATGTAGGTGGAACAGAGTTCCAACAAAGTTATATATACTTCGATATAAATACAACCTAGACGACTATTAGCAACAGATTAAATCAGCAAGCAAATACAAAGAGAAGATATATCTCATCACTGACCAGAAGCCATCTAATATTAGGTTAAATTAGCATACTTGGCACATCTAAAATGGCCGAAGATGCAGAATGCAGCAAGTTCACAATCATAGATATTCGCAGAAACCTACAGCAATTCGGCAGCGTCCACGCACCTCCAACTCGCAAAGGTCGGAAACCAACCGTAATACCGCTAATGATCGACGCGCTCTGCGACCACCTGTCGAAAAACCAGGCCTGTACCTCAATGAGAAGGCTGTCTTCCTTTGGGATAAGTCTCGCACGATGATCACAACATCTAGCATCAGAAGAGCCCGACAGCATGTAAAAGAGCGTAATACCGATTTACTATATCTCCATAATTTATCGGACTTTCAGTCGTATCATCTAGTTTATGTGGATGAATCTAGATGTGATAAGAGGACTGGGTTTCGGCGGACAGGCTGGTCACCACTTGGCGTGGCCCCTTTGCAGGTATCGCAGTTCCATCGCGACCAGCGATATCAGATTCTACCTGCGTATGCGCAGGACGGGATCATCCTCTCGCGTGTATTTCGCGGTGCAACTGACGGCACTGTCTTCGAAGACTCTTGAGCTCGGCTTCTTTAGCACTGCGGACGATGGCCCGAGCCTAAATCTGTTGTGGTTATGGATAATGCGTCATTCCAACATTCAGAGCGGGTCTCGCAGATCTGCCACCCTAGTCGCCGGGCTTGAATCCGATCGAGGAGTTTTTTGCTGAGCTGAAAAGCTTGATCAAACGTAACTGGAGTTACTACGAAGTGGATCCCGATCAAGGGTTTGATGTTTTTCTTACTTGGTATATTGACACGGTCGATGCAAAGCAAGAGAGTGCTAGAGGCCACTTTCGACACTCAGGCTTGAAGAAAGACGTCTGCGAAACTTGAACACGTTAATTAGCACTTTAGCCAGATAGAAGGAGTACTCCCCGGTTGGTCGCTCGACCAGCCTAGGCGGAGAGCAAGCTGATTTGCATTCTCATGTGTATTCTTGAGACAAGGCCCCTAGTTTCTTTGGAAAATAATACTGATATATCATTAGTTGATGATAATTCTGAAGCTGATGATTGGACAAGAGATCTATGACCCACAAGCTTTCGTGACATCTCCTATTGAAACGTATCGTGAGGTGCACTAATTCGGGGGCTCTTCTCGTGATTGGGCTCGCCGTTCGTTGCTTCCAACACCTGGTTGGCCACCTCCCCTTGTCCCGCAACTTGATATAAATTTGAAGGAGCGCTTTTTTGATCTACTTACAAGGACACTTCCCTCCAGATCTTCTTGAGGCTAGTTATATGTGACCACGAGCTACTCCAGACGCGAACTTAAGTCAGTTTATCTCGGATACTCATTCTTCTTGCTAATGTCTACTCTTTACGGAAGCGATTCTTCCAAGGAACCAAATGCCTAGGACTACTGCAATGATACTACTGCTTTGCCTTCACGCCATCTTCAAATGAGCGAAAGTATCTCCGCGTCCAACACGTTCTCAAACTTTGCACATATACACCCTTCGCCTATACCATTTGAGACAAACTTTTGCCTTCCCAAGTTCTCAGCTTATCCGTGGGCTCCTTATTTGACAATATCGAAATGTTCGCTCGAGATGACTGTCGATGCTTACGCAAACCCTTCTACATTCAGTGGTCAGGCTGTAAATAGCGTGTTGTCCGATACCTGGTCTACAAATAATCTGTTGACGAGAGATGCTCAAGTCCTGTCCGTGGAGAGCACTGAGCCCCTTGGAAGCAGGTATGTCTCCAATTTATCCTTTCATGGCAAATCGCCAACTGCCTCGTCCTAGGAATACAAAAAGAAACAACGAATTCAAGTGTGGTTGGAAGAATTGTACCAGCTCTAGAGGATTCGCATCTAAGTCCTCTCTCATGCGACATATCGAATCGCTGCATATTTCTCCACGTGGCTTCGCATGCCCTCATTGCAGAAAGTCCTTTAACAGGAAGGATCAGCTCCAGGCACACAGAAGCATTGTACATGTTGGCCGGGACTAACTGGCGCGTCTCAAACGCAGGGGTAGTGCGTCATAACATGAGTTGAAGATTGATTGTTCAGTACTGCAAATTTCTTATGCTAGAGAGGGACTAGTAGCAAAACAATGTACCGCACAAGTAAAATCGAAATTGGGTTTCATATTCAATGAAAATCGCAGTGAATAATAGTAGCCACAACAAGAAAAAGCATCTTTGCCTACCAGGGTCAGTTCTCTATGTAATCAATGCAGCCTTCTATTTGATGTCAAAGGTGTGTGAGCGAAGGCTGTGTGTGCCAAATAGCTCAAGCAAGATATGAGAGAATGAAAGAAGATCTTGCCAGATTGTCAGGATTCCCTTTTGTTTGGCCTGTTTGCACGATGGATTCCATCGATTTCTACAAGAAATTACGATACTATAACAATGACTCATTGTAGTGCACAGAGCCTATAATCCATACTATAGACGGCGGGGAATCGAGTATTCAGTACACGCACGTATTGATAAAGCCGCACCTGCCAAGAAAGGAAAGGAAGAAACGGGTATGGAAGCAATCTTTGACCATTGAACCAGTGGCCATTGACCATGGAATGAGATGGGAATCACTAAAGCCTGCCCCGTGTGGGAGTATAGAACAGAGAATAGAACCGAGCCCGCCCAGACCAGACGTTGGAAAAGAAACCGTTGGACACCGTGATCGTAGAAGACAAACATACAGGAGCGGCCTTGGCAGCGAATAGAGATGTAAGGGTCGGAGAGCAAGATGAGAAAGTAGAAGAGTAGGAATCAGAGTCCAAAGGTAAAAGAAGTAGTAATAAAAAAAAATAGAACCGTTTTGGGGTTATCGGGTTGTTGTTGCATGACATCGTAAAGAATAAGAGAACGCCACCCACCCGGATTCCCAGAACAGAATCAATAGAGCCACCGAAAGGAAAAGGAGCAAAGGGGGTAAATAGAAGCAAAACAGGAAAAGCAGAAAAGACAAAGCCACCTCCGTAGACCGTAAAGCAAAGAGACCATAACCATATAGACACGAGTAAGCCGCTGTCTGGTACATATTGTAGCAATAAACGGCGTTTTCCTCCCAAACATAATAGAAGCGTAGGGTCTATCTCCAGGCAAAAAAACAAAGAACTCGAAAAACCAAAAGAAAAGTAAATTCCGCCCGGACTCCCACGCTCCATGGCCATAAGCAACAAAGACACGGAAAGGTATCAAGAGATTAGATTTGAGGTTGCGCCATTTGCGGTTGCGTCGCCGCCGTAGTCGTCCATGTCGACATGGGTTGCGTGGCAGCATAAGGCCCAGGGACGTAGTACTGGGAGCGATCCGTGTTGTAGTAGGACGGATGGATGGGATTTGATTCGCGACGAGGAACGTTAGGATCGAGACCAGGCATATGCCGATCGAGGGCTGGGTGTGGGTTTTCCAGCTGGCCGGAGATGCTGAAGCTGCTGCGGGAGTAGGTGGCCGGGGTGGATGGATCCATGGGGGAGGTAGCATCGGTTGCCTGGCTGCGCGAAGAGATGGAAGAGTTGCGGTAGGCGGAAGGGCTGTGTTCCGAGGCGGATCGGTTACGTTCGTTGATCGAGCTGGGGAGTCCCGCATTGATGCCGCCTGGAATGGAGGCCATACTGTGTGCGCTCATCGAGTCCATGCTGCCGCCGTAGGGCCGGAAGGAGTGATAATCTTCCTGCTTTGGGGGAATGGCGGATTGTCCTGGGTTTGGCAGGTACGGATTTGGCGCGGATGGGCTTGCCATCGGCGCGCCCATGGAATATCCCTGAATCGGGCCTTGCTGCGGGGGATGTGTCGCGGCATACGGGCTAGGGTGCATATAGAAGTCGTTTGAAGGGGTGGGCATAGCGTAAGCGGGTGGGGCCATCATCTGCGGGCGATATCCGTATAGCGCGGCGTGGGAGGGCTCCTGGCTCTCCACGGCGTTGGCCTCGAGCTCGTCGATCGGGGAACGGAAGCTTTGTTTCTGGGTGAGTTCGGTGCGGGGTCGGATAAAACGTAGGGAATCCACCATGGAAGGTGGGTTAAGGATACCGCGCATCACGTCCTCCACACTGTAGTATGAGACCAAATGGTGGGTCACGCCGGAGACTGTCACGCTCATCGTCTTTTTGACTAACCCCGAGTCCTTGAAGCCGTACGAATCAACTAGAGACCCCACCAATGCCCGTTCGAGCTCCGATTGATGGGACGAACGGTCCGAAAAAGGCGCAGAGTTGGGCGATGTCGGAGAATAGCCCTGGCTGCTATCATGTCGCGGATACGGTTCGCCCGGCCGGCCGGCGGGCACTGGTCGTCGAGTGGCCTTCTTCATGGCGCGCTTCTTCTCCCCGGGGGAAACGGCTTGTCCAACTCACGGTAGACTAGGAAGTTTCCCAGAATGCGACTCGGGCTCCAGGTGACTCCATCGGTCCAGCGCTTGATCCCCGAGGCATTCTCCTCATAGATGAAGACGCTCCCGCTGCGCACCAGATGGCTCCGTTCCCGGTCGTGAGGGCGGCGCGGGACATGATGCAAGACACCGGTCAAGCATGCCTCGAAAAGGATTAGGGCGTCCTGCGTGGTTGCGACATACCCGGTGAATGTGGGCTCCAACACGGCGGCGGTCCCGTTCACCATGATGTAGTGTAGTGAAAGAGATACAAAGCCAGGTGCGACCCCCCGGGCTTTTGCGAAGTGATATATTCCCCGAACGATCCAACAGGGCTCAAAAGGGCAAAAAGAAAAAAAAGGAAAAAGAATTAAGCTAAGAGATCGACCAGGGTATGGAGAAGAAGAGGAGGTTTTGAGTTGGGACCCCTCAGTTGGAGAAATTCCCAGGGATCGTGATCAGCGAGAAGCACGGGCCCTCGAGTCAAGTCAGCGAGTCAACAGGTTGCACCGATTCGATCAGGAAAAGATGGGGATCTACTCGAAACCCGTTCCACGGTTTGAGTTGCGGCAATTCCCAAGCTTTCTTTTTTTTGGGGGATCCACTGAGAGAAGGGAGGGAAGGGAATAACTATGTACCTAAACGGGGACCCTGGCTAGTTAAGCGAGAGAGGGGAAGTAGAGAATAAGAAAAGAAGGGGGGAGGTCTGAGTGATAACTCCACAGGGAAACATGGTACAATGATAATCATTGATTAGATTATTTATTGAGTTATTGGGTTATTGGGTTATTGGGTTATTATTATTATATTCATACGTTATATAAGTTATATAAGTTCAACAGAAATATCTATGGGATAGACATCGGGAGTCTAATGGCTAATGTTAATGTTAATGTTAAACTCGGAGGGTTGAACTACTTGGTAGAATGAGCCTGGAGTATCAATGACAGATATGACATGCGATATTATGTTTTGAGCTTTATTTTATTTTATTTTATTTCAATTTATTTCAATTTATTTCCTGATTTATTTTCCATTTTCTGGATTCGGTCTAGTTGACCCAGAAAAAGAGAAAAAGAAAAAAAGAAAAAAAGAAAGTGGAAATAAAAAGAAATCAAATCAAATAAAAAGGAGACGGTGGAATTCGGAAAGCGGAGAAATACGGAGAATGAAACATCAAAGTCATGATTTCACCAAACCCTCCGCGAAAGCAGGTACAGTTTCACTTAGTTCGAGAACTGAACTAGAACTAGCACTATTTATATATGAGTACTATTATAAAGTATTATTGCCAATTAATAGCAGTATATCTACGCTCTAATATAATTAACTAGCAGAATACAAGAAAAGAATAGAACAGGTCAAGATACAATCACCACCCCGTGCCATGGGTGATCCGGTGGAGCCATGGATTAGGATCGGAGGGTCTCCGTGACATCGTATACAACATACATACAACATACCAAAGACAAGTAGCCAGTAGATTTATGTTGTATGTACTCCGTACTCCGTAGTCAACGGACTTAACTCGCTGTTGAGTCTGACTCATCAAACACCTGCCTATTTGGAAGAGAAAGAAAGAGATCATCTGTGTCCTTCTCCAGGCAGTGGTGTAAAGTACAGACTGTGGCCGTCCCAGTCCTCTGATTGGCCACTCAACTACTTCCCCCACTTTTCTCATCTACGCCCCATCCCAGAAAGGATCGCCTTTGGTCTCAGACAACCTCAGGAACCTCAAGAGGATCCCAAGGGCCAATCCTCCGAAGAGCGTCATATCTCGTACGGGGCTGTCTGTGCACTGCCATACCGAGCTATTGAACTTGGGATGGGTCGCCGTCCAACGGCAGTCAAGGATAAGATCCTCGGTCTGGAGCAGCCAGTCAAAATCGTCAGAAGCGGGTCGTCTGCCCTCACACCCGTGGACGGGGGATTTTAATATAAAAAAGAAATTCCCTTTCTCGACATCTTTTCTCTTTTTTTTCTCCGGGTCCGGGTATCGGTGACTTCTGGTTGGGTTATTCGCTGCTCCATGACTGGTTTCCCATTTGGACCAATTTCCCAACGAAGAGGACGAGGAAGAGGACTGAGCGCGGCCAGTTCAAGGTAGATCTCCGCCTGGACCCGTCGATTCGGTATACAATCTACGTCCGTACCATAATGTATCCCCCGTGGACTATATATATAATGTTCGGGTATCGACCCGGGTCACTAAACCCAATCAGCATGAACGGATGAACGGACCCGGGAAGACCACGCGTCGCAGATAAGAAACAAAAAAAGAAAGAAAAAGAAGGTTAGGCTTCCGGGCGAGAGAGTTTTCGGTAACTTCACTCTTACTTTAGTTTTTTCTTTTGTCCTCTATCTCAGGGCGTGAAAGTTAAGAGGGGAAGAGGGTCCCGTAACCAATGCAGACCAAGAAATGACGACTGGGGTTGGATTGGACGGCCAAAACTTTCGCGGGAGATCCTCAGCAGATCCAGGCCATGCCACGCTGCCACGCACAAAGTCCAGACACGGGTCTCAGCCACGGGGCCACCTGTCTGGCTACGCACCCCGGTCAAGCCACGGGGCTAAGGATTAGATCGGCGGGGGGATTGAGGGAATTATTCAGTACGAGTAACATACATAGGACATAGGAAGTTGGAAGTTGGATAATACATTGTATATTGTACATAGATAGCGGAGGACAGTGCTCCGTTTAAAGTCAGGTCCCAGAGGAGTGGTCGACCACGCTTGTTGAAACTCAATTGGCGCGAATGACAGATGTCAGGATATAAACATTTAGGGTAGAGATATAAGATAGGGCTCGCTAAAATAAGCCAGTACGTACGCAATGTGATGTATCACTCCGTATAATCGCCGAAGTCCGATAGCATAAGAATAGGAGAAACCAATAATTCAGAAACCAAAGTCTGGACCGAAATCTGAGATCATCGATATTCTGCACAGCCCATCACAAGCCCAGGATGGCTCTAAGCGCGGGAAGTACACAGCAAAGAGGCTAGCGTTGGCGGTTAGACGTAACAAAGGTACCCAATCTACGAGAACAGGAAACTATTTACATAGTGTGGTAGGAGCTTGGCATTTCCAATCGAATTACCCCACAAATGCGCGAGCAAATCACATTGGAACCGAGGGAGCACCAGATGTGGTCCTATCTTAAATAGACGAGAGGCGTTTTTTCCACGGACGATCTCGGTGCCATTATCTTTTCTCGATTCGAAGATCTCGACTAATAGGTCCTCCGTACTCCGTACTCCGTACTTTCGAGTCGATCGCTGGACTGCGATTTGTCGACCCACACAAATGCACACACCCATTACCCAGACACTCGGGGCCAAAAGAAGGATTATTAGATTACATGTTTTATTATAGGTGGGGGATGTGGAAGCTAAGACGCTTGAACGGGTAGGTGAATAGCGATTGTAATAAGCAAACTGCATGTCAGGTGGAGTTTTCGCTACTGAAGAAAAAAGAGGCGCATCTAATTTAATTCCATTGGCACTACATAAACCTGGACGGAGTACTCAGAAATCAGCTCTAGACCCGTTAGGGCTAGAATCGGCGCCGATACGAAGATCGCCCCCTCGAACTAGGCACTGGATGCCCCCGGCTACAGCACTGTACTACTGATGTACTACTGCTCCACACCGTGCAAAGAACCAGCAAATGAGCAATTCTATAATATCTGTGGAATATCTCAACAGCCAATAGGCAATACCCAGAATCAGGGGTAGAAAGGCCAGGCTATTGTCTTGGGCGGGTAAGAGGATCAGGTCCCGAAAGTCTCGGGGTTGTGGACGGATTAGGGAGGTAGTACGGAGACGGAGTCCATGTCTATGTCTATTGCCCATTGCCCTTGTGCTTTCCCATGATCTCTGTGCGAGGTTGGATGTAGGGACTTGTGCTTGTGGCACGGTGCATAGTGGTAGGGTGTGATATTGGTGCATTGCATAGGCATGCACATCTTCTGTACTCCGTAGGTTCATTGTACTTGTATCTATCTATGACTAGAATGGATAACTATAGATACCCAATCTTAACTATACATAGATTAATATATAGTTTCCCCGAGCCTCCGAAGTGAAAGCTACAATCCCCCGAAACCATCCAGTCGGTGGACCAAACCGGATCTTCGTCGACGCCAAGTTCCCTCATGATGATCGCCCCTTAGTGCTAGACCCTTGAGAGAGTTGCGGCATTATCTTAGTTGGTCCCCAAGACAGCATAGTACGGACGCCACCGAGACTAGTGCGATTAGTGCGAGTTATTTCGGGTTGTGTTTTCCTTCACGGGGCGTGCATTTGCCTATTCTTTCCCTGTGTGGCTGCCGCTGTGCTTGTGTTTCCTGCTCCTACTCCGTACCCGACAATCATAGGACAATACCCAAGGTATGTGGTTGAAGGTATGACATGGCGCACAGTGGAGAGAAACAATTCGTCGTCAGCCTCAGGGCTGAATGCGCGATCATGGAGATCGTCTATTTATTCCACTTCGGGGGGAATTAGTGGGTGCTCTATCCGATCGCGCTTGTGTGCATTGAACATTGAACAATGGACTAGTTCTCAGGTACTCGTACTCCGTACATGGACTCCATATCCATACGGAGTTCTGCGCACGGAGTCTTCCGCAGGAGGCAAAAGGCAGGCAAAAAACAGGCAAATAGGCGAATACGCAAGACATGGATAGCATTATGATGTCGGGTCATTTGTATAGTTCAAGCATCGCCTCCACCTCGTATAATCAACACCGTCGACCCCGTGATCCTCGTGTCAAACCAGCCGATCGGGTGGAAAGAAAACATGAACGAGGCCAATGAAGCTAACGAAGCCAATGCCTCCACTTATTTCCACTATTAGTTAATGTTGGCGTGTCACAAACAAGGGATCGCTCACGCCCATGTGGTCAGAAGGACTGTTGGAACTTGGCACCCAGCGCTACGGCTCGTATCTGATTTGTGCGACTTGGATCCTGTTTTTGAGCAATCAAGGTTAGTGTATTCAAGATTGTATATGGGACATTGAAGCAGGTATATCCTACATTGTAGGGATTATAAAGCATGAGTAGCTAGTTATGTTGCAATCTCCTCTAGTTAAGGCTTTACTTCTTTAAGGCTCGAGTACTTGATTATGGGAAAGACATCAATTCTTGGCATCTGTATGAATATTGCAGCTATATACAGAACGACCTTTCTCGGCTTCCGTTTTCCGCTTTCTTATTTCCCCCTTAATAATAGCGAGACTTCCAC